GATGTAATTGTTGGTTAATCTTGTTTGTGTCCGGACATTCCACAAATTACAATCGTCAACCTGAGAAGGGTTGTAGGCGTACTGGTGTAAGTCCTGCAATTCTTCAAAGGAATTCCACAAGACATGATCGGCGAGGTTGTTTGTACTATTTGTATATACGTGTGGTGTGTCATAGCAATTGGTGTATTTTGGATTCATTGTGTTTACTTGTTGTTTTCGTGTCTTGTTGTTATTGCATAATTTTGTTAAAATTTTCGTCGTGATTATTTCTGAAGTTGTTTCGAGTCTTCTACATCCATGAATGAATTGATTGATGTTAGAGACAGCAGATGGGTCGTATACGCCGGGGAGGCTGTTGCTGAGAATGAAATGCACACGGAGATAATTGTTAGCTGCGGTCCGACACGCCGGGGAGAAAGAGTGTAAACGACTGAGGCTCGCATGCGTCACCGCTACTAGAACTGAGGCAGAATGAGTGACAAGCGATTTCAGTGGTAATTGGTAGTAAGTAGATAAGAGGATGTGCGTGGAGTATCATGAGGTGCTCCTATGGTCACGTTGCATTCTGCAAGAGTCATTCTAGCAAGTGGCGATTGTGTTGCAAGATGTCAAGAGGAGGTCTCTGTCTGGAGGCGCAGGTCGTCAGCGATGTGTGAGATTGTGCTGTGGGTATGCTTGTGGTGTGTTGGCTTTTCTGTTTGTTTTCCATTTCAGCTCTGTCCGTGTGACCCAGGTTCTCGCAATGGCATCCAAGTCAACGTGCATTGGTCGTGAAGGAAAAAAGGGTTGGATCCCTTTTTTGCCGGGGAGTGTCAATGGAGTTGAAGATTGAACGATCAATTCTTGGTTGTTTGCTCAAAATCAACTTCCCCAATTTTCGCGGAGGCATCAATACGACAGTCATCGTCTCATCGGTCGCTGTTCAGAAAGAAGAGTGAAACATCGTCAGAAGTAATACAGAGATTTATTATTGTAATATTTGTTTTCAGACCTTAGTTCGTTTATTCCTTTTATATGTTGGTGTAACAATAAAGAAATATCAAGCGGCAGATCGGTGTTTTGGTTTTTTCGTCCGTTATAACTAAGCGTTTCTGAAATCTTCAAGGAACAGCGTGGGTCCCAGTGTAGCGAGAGCTGGGCATTAACGGTTTATGAGACTTGATTGACAATCTGAGTAATGTCTAGTGCACAAGGTTTTGTGGATCCTACAGAAATGACGTTTTCACATTTAGGAATCTATGGGCATCAAATATAAGCTGAACATATCTCAACTCTGAACAGCTATGCACAGTGTTAACAACATACAGAAACACTTAAACTATTGTATAATACACAGACCTGTTTTGTTGATGAGGATAATAATGTCATATAATGCAAACTAGAAAATTCAATCGTCACAGCACATCTGTACTGCTTTGTCTAAACGGAAATCTCAGGAGAAATTCATCTCCACTATTGGTGATCAAAAATATTGCAGCATTAAGTATACAGTCAGTGGAAATTGTAAAAGAGAATAAATTCATATTAATGATAATAAAGCTGAATAGATTCAGTCCTCATAATCACCGCGACTCATGCGTGTAATCATGCCGTGTATTGATTTGGTGCATTAATTGGAACAGCACGGAAATTTAAACGAGTAATTGCCTTCTACGCTGCATTGTACTTGCAATAATCATGACAATTGTCACGATTAGGAAGGTGGTTAATCACCTTCGTTTGTTATCCTTTCAGTCAGTTAAGTAGACGATGGCACAATATTGTTAAAGTTGAGATATTTTTGTACATTTAATTCACATAAAACATAGCACACTGCACCAATCAGTGCCAATATACATGAAATCCACTTAGAGATAACCTTTCAACTTACCATAATTCCTGTCCAACCACAGATATCTGTGGTTCACTCTATATAGATTGAAAAGCACATCTAAATGAAAACTTAGGTTCCCACAAACGATTCTGATAGCATTTGCAGATGATTTCCAAGTACTAAGTGACATGTACCCATATAATATGTGTTTTGTTTGACAGTCTGCTCTTGGTGATATGTACCCATATAATATGTGTATTTGTTTGACAGTCTGATATATTTTGCTATGTATATATGGATCGATATTCCATTATAATTAGCCAATCATATTACGTCGAATGAATGTTACGTCAATTCGAAGCCAGGATTCCCCGGCTGCAAGCTAAGTTCGAAGACCAATAGGACACAATCCATCGGCCCATGAATTCTAACTTCTACCAATTCATGATACGTATATGCGTCAGTGAAATAGTGGTTAGGACTCTCGCCGATCATGCACATGGTCCGGAGCTCGACTCCCTGTTGGAGCACACTTGATATCAATGGTTGGCCTCCAGAATTTAGGCTGCCTACATCACATGGTGAAAATTCCACACTTGTACCAAAATACGGTTTGGAATCAAGCTATAATCAAAATGAAAAAATAAAAATAAATATCCCAGTGGATGAATGTTCTTCAAGCTTGTTTTGCAACTGGAATATCCTGGGTTCGAACCTAAACGGGTGAGTACTGCTGGAGAGTCCTGAAGTTGGGTGACAGAGCCGTATAGTAATCTCTGGTTTTCCGGGGTTTTCCAAGCAACTCCTCAAGTCTACAATTAATTTACTTGCCAATGAATATGATTTTAAGAGCTCTATTTATGCGGAGGTTAACTGTCTAGTATTTACTGAAGTTAGATTGTCTGAATTCCGTCGACATGGTCTGGAACTATGGTTTTCTCATCTAGAGCGCTACTTTTACCGGTGTAAATTCAATTTTGGCAACTAGAGATTTATGAGCATGTGTTCTCAGTTACATATTTAGATTAGAAAAGAGGTGTAGGAACTTATACTCCACCATACAACCGAGATGCTGTGCGCAGCGTCTAAACACCTAGAGATAATACCACTCTCGAATCCTAAAATCGGTGCATTTAACGTTCGCTTCAAGGGGAAAATTCAGGAGACAGATCTCTATCACAGTTGGGAGAGGATGTAGAGAAGCAAGTTTGGATACAAGCCATTCAGCAGTGTGTGCTACAGAGAGAGGACGCATAAGATCCTGACTCTTCTCTTGAACAGTTGATAAGCATCGCAGGCTTAATGTTGTAGAGAAGACGACTTACAGAAAGAATGGTTGCCCATTGAGCACGTCCTAGGTCAAATAGCTAACCCAGGCAAACCAGACCACGAAGACATTTAGGTTTCTGTCACTGGCGGTTTGGCTTACAGTCAACAAAGGCATGTTAGCATGCTCCTGACCTCAAATACTTCACAAATAACCAGGAAAAAATTAACGCCTCCAAGCTATTGGCTACCAGGAAGAGTCGCCAGGACAGTCACCTATTCTACTTCAAAGATTAAAGATCTGCTGCAGACTTCTTGGTCTATACAGGAGCTAGTTTCAGAATCGTGTCAAAAAAGAAGCCAAGCCAGAATTCATAATTAAAGGGACTGAAGTAACCCTCGTGCTTCACTTTATCCAAGTTTCGCGTATTCAATTGCCGTGTTTATACTGGCACTTTCTCAAACACCAGATAACCCTATAATCTTGGTTTCCTGAGACCGAAAATTATTCCATTGACTTTGGCTTACGTTACGGGTATTCTTAGACCTCAGTGTTTGCATTTAGTCAGTCTCAGGATTCGCGCTATCAGCGGAAAATATTAAGAAGTCATTTCGTCTGAACAAAAAGCTCATAAATGCTTAAGTTGTCATTTTTAGATTTCTGTTTATTCCGTGGCGCGTGGTTGGTTGTGAGGACTTTGCAGTGATCATGTTAAAATGAAAACCAATAGAAAAGTGAATCACAGATGTATACCATACTAATGACATGGAGAATGACCAAGGTTGTAAGAGAGATTACTGTTCCTTCCAGTCAGTTTTACAAGATGGCGATGCACTGTCATCGTTCGTGACTGCTAGAGGAAAATGTCTAGAGACCCGAACACTAACAGACCCTGAAGTCGGACGAGGTAATCCAGGGCGTTTCCACACATAAACTTTATTCTACTATGTACATATCCGACTCTATTTCAATGGTTACCAATTGAGCCGGTAACACTTCATCACGACTATTTTATTTATAAGTTGGGTGATATCAAAATTGTTATTTCATGTAGGGTATTATATTATTGTAAAGTGAAAAGACTGACCATATCGACGCCACGGCTCTTATATGAGTTTCAAGCATTTCTTCATGCCCAAAATGTTTCGCAGTTGCTTAGGAATTCACTTCACTCCAAGCTTACAATAATTCATAACTAATTCTAACCTGTGCCTTTTTATGGTGAGTAAATATTTTACCTACCAAAAGTGGAGTCATTATGTGCTTAAATAGTGCTGATCATTATTAAAAAGAGAATAGGATGCCTAATAAACACTACGAAACATTTAAATTGGGATTTACAGCAAAGGTAGTGACTTTAGTGTCGAAATGAAGCTGAAAAGTCACCCCAATGCTCTGAACAAAGTCTCTTCATTCTGAAGTCAGATCTGAGTCTGGGCTGGCAGGGCTGAAACAATGCTGATAAAATACATAGTGGGTTTTGACCTATTTCTGAAAATGCCTGGAAAAAGCATAGGGTGCTGAAATGGCGGCAATCATGCTGAAAACCAGCACTGAGTTTCAGTCTGCGGGAATAGTCAAAACATTTCAGAACTCTTTCAGAATATACCCACCACAGAATGTCAGAGTTATTTTAGAATAAGTGAGATTTAATTCAGCATCACTGTAAACTTAGGACCTATGGGTCCCAGAGTCCCATTGTCGAGTAATCACTTTCTGCATACCAGAGAACGCATTAGGAATTGTGTTTGAATCTACAGAGTTCTCTCGAAACAAATCATGTAGAAAATTCGTATAATTAGGGTGTGAAGATTCCATGAAAATGACACGTCCAATGTCCAAGCGCGAAGTATGTGTAGGGTCGTTACCGCGATGTTAAGATTATTAGATGAATAAATTTGAAATGCGCTGCCGTGGTGGATGCTTATAAATTTCAGAAAGTAAGCTCAAACTCTTCAAAAGAATGAATTACTTTTCTGTTTGGCATGGAACTTGGGTATTCAGCAGATCTGAAATATTAATATATCATAATTGAAAAGATTCATCTAATTGTGAAGGCTGACTGGAAATTTAAGATATTGAATGGTGTCTATTTTAATGGAAGTCTGACTGAATAGCTGAAGAAATGTTTGGATACTTTTAAAGTTGAGTTGAGTGGGCATCGACAGAAAACATTTCAAATATTATCAATTCGCACCCTTAAACATAGCATGGTTTTGTCCAGACGCTGGTCTTCCGCAGAGCTGTGCATATGATTTTAGAAGTAACTTGAAAATTAGCTGCCTACTTCGATTTGCAGAAAATTCCTTTTTTAGTTGAGGTACCATTGTTCGACTAATCCTTGTCATTAGTCTGATGGAAGCCGAGTTTATTTTTCGGAAAGCCCAGGAGAAAAATTTATAGTCATATCAATGCAAAATGTTGGGAAAACATCTGAACTCCTCAAAGGCACAGGATTACGGTGAAATATTTCCTAAGTTGTAGTAGTTTTGGTGTTAAAGAGTGGTGCGATCAGAAATCTCCTTTAGTGTTGTTTAAATCTTTACTTTCCTCTCCTCCTAATGTTTTTTGCAATAACATAAGAAAACTTCATGTCTCAATTTAGGAGGGTCTATTTGTACTTCATTAACAATTTTTCTAGTAGCATATTCTTTAAAGCAAGGTGTAAATTAGTTACATTTTGTTTCTCACCATAGTTTCATGAAAATGTATAAAGTACTGTTTGAGAAAAGTGTCTTTAGCTGCAAAAAGTCTTTTGTGAAATAGATACTGATACACATTAGGTACCTAGTTTCTCAAAACACTGAGCTAAAATCAAGCCTATATATTTGGATCTGTGAGTATACGTGCATTTAGTATTTTCTTCAGTGCTTGTCACTTAGTACAGTAATGATATGAAAGCAAGCTGATATGTGCCTTATTGCGACGATTCTGTTATTCTCGTGTATCGTTAAATGTCTGCATTAAGTTACTATCGTATTAAATCTCGATTCGAAAAATTCCTGCTACGAATTACTAGTAAGGGAAGTTTGATATGCGAATTTTATGCATTCACAACAATTATTAGTTTTGTCAAGTAACCTGTTGATTTACAAAAATAAGGCAGTTGTAAGACCGTGAAAATATCGCCAGACTTTAAATTAGTCTTACCCTGTCGCTCTGTGTGGACTATAAACCACACAAACTCTCTTGACCTCACAATGTTGGTGACTGGAGATTAAACTCAGAGCTCACTGCGTACGTAAGCCAGTAACCAGTATATTCACCGTTTTTCGTGTAACTCGTCTTTTTAGGTTTTTCACTTGGAATATCTCTTAAACACTGGTTCTTTGGGGAAGCTCAATACAACTCTATGATATTGCGGTTAATGTCCTGCCTCCTCATGAAGTATTCATTAAGTCATAGGGTTCATTATTATTGTGTTGTTGTTATTATTGTCATGTAAAATTTGCTTAGTTTCGTTTCAGTTATGTTGACTTTTGTTGTCGTCTTTATTATAATCGGTCACTCGTTAATTTTTGCAATTTTAACTTATCTGTATAGCTTCGACTCTATAAATAGGTGCTCCCAGGAACCATTAATGCAAATCAGGTTACATGCAAAATTTATCAATGCACTAGAAAGATACCATTAGTTTATGCTGCCTTTCAGATACATACCTAGCTATAGGGGACTGCTTAGCATAACTTCCTTGTATGTCAGCTGAGCTAGTACGTTTTTGGTGTACCTATGTAGGTATCCTGTGACATCCACATTCACCGTAGTTGGTGTTGATGTCTCACTAAGCGTCAGAGTTGAAGCTTCATTAATCGTGTGAATCTTTGTTTATGTCCCACTCGGCTAGGAGCAATTCGTTGAAGCTTTCTTTTCAGTATCTCTGCAATCTAAGTAATGGTTCGCAGCAGGGATACAACTGATTATGACTTCTATCGACCGAATGATCTCCAGCCAGCGCTTTTGATAGATTCTGTATTACTAGCTTTAACTTGTGACTTATGATTTTCATTGAAACTGTTTTCTTCTTCGTTATCACTATTCCTTTGTCTCACACCTCTGTTTACTGTCCCTAATATGCATTTCTTCTACTTTCTTCTCTTGCTTTGTGTGCTACGTGGAATGTGGCGACTTAAACTGCCGCACATCGGTGCAAAGTTCTATGTCGAAAACAGACAGACTAGCTTTAACACAAAAGAATAAGTGTAGTATCTGGAGTTGTCTATGTGGTCATTGGGGACTAGGTGGTCTTCTGTTGCTTTGCTGACTCTATCAAAATAAACGTTGCCTTAGGCTATCAAGCGTTCCCCATGTGTTGCACCCACATTTACAGTTGATCCATCAAAGTGGTCGAGAATATTGTGTATCTAGTTGGTTTTGTGAATTCTACCGGTATGTTAGATGAAGTTTCCAGTGGCACAGTGGGAGTCAGATTGGCATACACCAAGTCGGTTGGTTTAACAATTCCTCGGTACATGCAGTTGACCTGCACTTGTGAAATTTGGTCTTTCCGAGCTAGGTATGTGGTGGGACTAAGCGTCTTTAACCTCTGGTGTGCCCGTAGCATCGCCTAATTTCATTGGTGCCATCATGTAATTAGCCTTAATATCCGATGGCATATGTTTGAACAAGGTGGAAATTAACTTTTATTGGATGATGCCTTCTTGTTGCATGGGCCTCAGTGATCTAGACACTTATTACAAATTTTATCCCAGTCAATTTCACATCGTCCACATTATGCTATTTTTAGAAATAGTTGAAAAAATCAAAGGGGTTGTCAGCCTATGATATGACGCTATTAAATGTTATGTAATAGTGTTGGCTTAGCTTCTGTTAGTCAGTCACAACTTCCTGGTAGGCATTTGACACACTCAGTGACCTGAAACGTAATAATTTAGAGCTCAGAATAGGCGTCATTATCGGAAATGCCTTAGTTTTCTTATTCCATTCTAATTGAAAGAGTGAGATTGAGTACAGAGCATTCCTTTGAATGCAAGTGATAAGCACATAAACCTGTTTCATCCCTTCACTGCTTGACTATTATGTTTATCTTTTCTCATACTGTTGTTCGATAATTTTGTATGACATACCTCCCAGTGGTCATGTTGTGTCATGTATGTTCTAAATAAACAAGTAGTCGCATTAGAGCTAGTTATCCACATTTGCTGTGAAATTCCATTGTTGCTGTAATACAGCTTCTCGTATGGCCCTTACCTGACGCTATTTTCGTCAGATTGTTCTTGCTAACTCAATCAAATCATCGGATATAGGATTGAGTGTTTTTTAGTTTTTAAGTTGTCACAAGTGATTTACTTTTTATAAATCAGAATTAAAATATAACTAGGTATTTTCAAAAGTCCTGTCCACGAAGCGTCATATAATGAATGTTTGTGTAATTATGAGGAAAATTCTCATAATGGAAGGATCACATTGCAGTCTAGTAGCATTTCTTTCGTCCATGCTTAGCAACGCGGTTCAGAATCGTTAGAGAAATTTAAGTTCCCCGGTGCTTAAAAATATACTTTTCCGAAAAACTTGAGAAAATTCGGAAGTTCAAGATTTTCCCATTACTATGTTCAATCATTTGTAATTTATCAAAATTGCACTGTACTGGTGAGTCTTCAAGCATTTTAATCACATTGCAAACTTGACCAGTAAAGTACAGTCAGTACAAAGATTTCAAAAGTGTAGTTATTATTCACCCAACTATGACCAACTAGTGTATTTCTTCATAACTTTCTCAAACATTAAGTCAAATATAATTTTCTTTTATTCACGTTCCCTATAGGCATGTTGGAAAAACGCAGTTATCGGCCGTTTCGTATCAGTCGTTTACAATTGAAACAATGGTCGTCATTTCTTGCTGTTGTATTCGCGGTAACTAGTGATCTCTGTGATTATTGTTGGTTTAATCCACTTAAAGCTTCTCGCATTTGTTTTTATATCTGCTGGGATTTGGCTTCTTGTAAACACTGAAGTTGAATCAGAGATAATTGGCAGACGGTATTACTTCGAAGGAGGCATTTTATTTGTGGTTATCGGAATACTGCTGATTTTCTCGCTTATATGTCAATCTTTCATTATTCACTTACTGTTTAAGTCTAAAAAACCATGGCGTTTCACTGAAGCTAAATTAAAAAAAGCAGTTGCATTGGTGAGGTATAACTTAGCAAATATTTAATAATCGTGTATTTAGTATTTAGTATTTCTGTTTATAATGGCAGTTCCTCATGTTTATTGCTTATATCATTTGAAGACAATTCGAACTAAAGTAAGTTGAATTATATTATATTCTAATGACAAATATTGATTAATTTTAAGTAGTGATATTCACTTGTTGTTGTATTCTTTATAGTCGTAACATCGTCTTTAACTTCAGGTATAGCATTTTTATCGGATTGTATAGAAATCACAATGAACGTATTGTTGCTGTACAATCGCACTTTTTTTTTAAAATAAAAGAATATATGCGTTATTCACTGTCCCCCTCATCTTGAAAAATTATAGTAACTATAATTGTTTTACATAGTATATTGTCATTTCGTATTCGATATGGAGCGGAAAAAACATTGGCATATAAAACAGAGAAGCAGTTCCTTCAAAACTACCGAGAAATCGTCGAATAATAGCATACTATCAATCAAGTAAACTTATGATTATTATTATTATTTTATCCTTTAATTCCTAGAGGAACATAGGTCTTCAGCTGAGCATCTCCATTGCCTTCTGTTTTCTGCCAACTTTTTCACCCCGCTCCAAGTCTGCCCACATGCTTTCATCTCCTCTTCACATGACCTCCTCCAAGTCACTCTCACACTGACGACCAACTCGCCGCTTCCCTTTCGGATTCCACTCGAGGGTTTGTCTAGTGATGTCACTTGATGGTTTTCTCAGCGTATGGCCAGCCAATCCACCTCCGTTTGTTTCTGCCTATTTGTTTCACAATCGATTCCTGGTTGGTTCGCTCCCAGAGATCCCTGTTGCTGATCTTTTCTGGCTGGCCATCTGATCTTGAGTGGTATTGAGCGAAGACAACTGTTAATGAAGGTCTGAAGTTTGTTTGAGATTCTCTTTATGACGCGCCAAGTCTCTGATACGTATAGTAGCACTGACTTCACATTGGTGTTGAAAATCCGGATCTTATTTTTCATACTAAGTGCTGTTGACCTCCACACAGACTTGAGAGTAATGAAATCTTGTCTTGCTTTCCCGATTCTGGTTTTGATATCCTCGTCAGTTCCATCCGCCTGTAGTTGAAACGATGCTTCCCAGGTAGGTAAATGAGGTTGTGATAGGATCCCACGCACTTTGTTATTGATCAGTTATTCCAACGGCTGTTAATCTCGCATAAATGGTATATCATCATTTCCCACGCACTTTGTTATTGATTATTACGATCAATTATTTCAAATGCTGTTAGCTGTATGTATTGTTGTACAAATATATAAATAACATGTGTTGTTTTCCTAAATAAGTTCTTTGTCGTAGTTGTTGTACTACAATATACAGTCACAGGCCAGCCTTTGTCTTTTGATATTCGCATGGTTCACTGAATCGGAAGGCACCACAAGCAGATATGCATATTAGTCAGGCGCAGACAGAACAAGGCGACAACGTCCTCATTTAATTCCCTTACAGTTATAACAGGTTGTTTCTTTCAGGTTCCTCCCATTTATGCTGATTTTTGTTTGTTGTTGTTGTTGCTGTTGGCCAGGAATCTTCATCATCTCTGTTTTATCTATGTTCACTTGGAGTCGTATCTTTGATGCTTCTTCTGCCAACTTGTTGCTTTTCATTTTCATATCTTCCAGTTTGTGGGAAATCAGACATATAACGTCGGCGAAGTCCAGATCCTGTAAGTTTTCTGTGTGGGTCCATCTTATGCATGTTTCCTCGTTGCCCGCTGTCTGTCACATTATCCAATCTACTGCAATCAGAAAAATGATTGGCGACAGTAGGCAGCTTTATCTTACTCCTGTCCTCACTTCGAAGGCTTCCGTAAGTTTCCTGTAAACATAATTTCGTTTAAATCAAGGCTTCGAAATTCATGATCATCCCCGAGATATCTGGGATATAGTAGAATAAAACTGAATAACCAAAATTGTATTCCTTACTTAGTTACTAACCCCATTTTTGTGGTTATGTGATTAAGTAATTTATGTTCATATGATTGATATCAGTTAGAGAACCAAGGAGTACTGGGAGATCTGTTTCATCGTAGTTTAGGACTCGTCGCCAGCTTGCACCCAGTTTCATGGCAAGCTGGTACAGCACTCAGCCACTGGTACCCGATTCAATGGCTTACGAATTCTAACATCTTCCGGTTCGTGATTTTAGTGCGACCACCAGCCAATGTCATCGGGAAGCATTTGTCCTCATTCCCGACAGAGTCCTAGTGGCTGAGTGGTTAACGTACTCCGCCTTACATCTGGAAGGTCCTGGGTTCGAAACCCGATGGGTGCGTGCTGCCGATGAATCCCAAACCAGGACGAAACAGCTGTTCAGTGCTCATTGGTTTTCAGTGGTTCTCTAACTGATATCAATCCGACGTGAAACTTGAAAAACAAATCAACTCTTGCAAAAGTTCATATAATTGTCATTTCTTTCGGTTCACAATGCAACCGATAGTCAATGACATCAACAGATGTAGGGTTTGTCGTACTTACAATAGATGTTAACCTATCACTTGGTCAGAAAACAAGTCTAAAATCAATGTGACAGTACGGAGTTTTTCAGGTGGAATACAGCGGTAAAGGAATTTTATAATTTTAACACTCATTGTATGCCATCGTATGAAATAAGAGTACACACATGTTTAGAATCCTGATATTTTAGTTCTCTCAATCTTTTAATGTTATAATGCATCACTAGGTCTTCTCATCCACCTACTCATAATCTGTAGTAATTAAAATATGAAGTACGGGGTAACGTAATAGTAGTACCTTAACGTTATTATCTTATCATAAATATTTAACCACTAAATGGTTTTTTTATTACATATTTTACAACAATAACAACAGTAAGCATATTCCTCTGTGTACTGTATTGTTTTGTATTAGATCACATTTTGAATTATGTGATAAACAATCTTTCTACTACATTTCAACCTATCAGAACCCTTTTCTTGCATTGAACAAGGTGAAAAAAGCCTAACTAGTGTGTGTGTGTGCTCTGCGCTATTAGTGATTACTTGATACCTGTTTTGAAAGTGAAATTTTATTGCTAACAGAAACTAATTAAATCTTCACAAATTCAACAATTTTTCGTATTTTTCTTTCAACTTGTTGACAATTTCCTATTTCCTTGTAGACTCAAGTCGTTAATCTTCTTATCTGTTTACGTCCATTTCAATTGAGCATTATCGAGAATCATTTCAATGAAAATACTACTCAATTTCTTTGACCTTGCACGCTATTATTCTAGGTTATCCTGTAGCTTTTGCAAAATCAGTTTTTGAAGTGTGATTTAAATATGAATAAACTGTGGTACATTGCGAATGTATTTATAAAGAGCGTTTCATATATATATATATATATATATATATATATATATATATATACGTATACTTACCAAGTTTCATTTGTCATTTGTTTTGAATGACTATCTGTTGTTTTTTATTTTTTGTTAAAATGATTTTTCTTTAGTTAGTTTGGTCTATCAAAGAACAAACTGAAGAGGTTTTGATTAACTTATACGGATTTGAGCCTGAATTCACATCAGCATGGGATCATTTACAATCTCAAGTAAGCTAAAAAATGGATAATGAATCATATTTTTTATTTTTAATTCTGTGTAGTTGGTTTATATATATATATATATATATATATATACTAACTACTATCTCTCCTCTTTTGAAAACAATGGAGAAATTATTGTGACTAAAACGTGTTCCCTCCCTAAGCTTCTCAAATGATCCAAAGCTTACAAACAGGGTAGAAGTACTTTAGACGCTGCTGCTGTGTTTCGTCACAACATTGTATCCTCCTTAGACAAAGGGGCCAAAAGCATGTCCGTTGTACTTTCCTTGATTATACATCTGCTTTCGACTCTGTACCTAGAGGCCTTTTGTTAAACAAGCTTAGCCGTACACAAACTGAGTCCTGGCCTATCAACTGGCTGCACTCCTACTTCTCTAATAGGATGCATATAAGGGTATATCTTCCTCTTCTTTGCTCACTGAAGCTGGCGTTCCTCAGGGCGCTGTTCTCTCTCCGTTTCTCTTTTCCTTCTTCTTACATAACTTACCTCTTTCAGACGAAATCAACTTCGTCAAATATGCAGATGACCTGACTGTTTCGTTTCCCGTTAAGTCTCAGTCAGACTGCTTCAAATTAAATAGCTTCCTGTCTGATATCAGTCAGTGGTCTAAACTAAATGGTATCATGCCGAATCCCTAAAAATGCCAGGCTATTGACTTCTCCTTTAGGCATAAACGAGATCTACAAACAATAGTAAGTACTCATGAAGCCTGTAGAATTGAGGGGACTAAAATTGAAACTAAGTGTAATGCAAAATACCTCGGATTAGTTCTATCTTCCGACCTTACTTTGTCATCTCATATCCAAACAATTTCCTAGAAAGTGTTTTGTCTAACCTACTACATTACAAAACTCAGACTAACTGGAATCACTTAACCTCTACTTTCACAATTTGTCAACTCTCGTATCTTACCTATTCTACTTTACTGCTCCCCATTAGACTTTCCTGGGTTACTGAAAAAGGACTATACCATCTTGAGAAGGATGTTGAAGGTAGTTAGTGGGACTAGTGGTGTAAAACTCAGTTAGCTCGTCACTACATCAGTAGAAAGACATCTGAATACATGCGAAAAATGGTCTAGAACCATACTCTCCGACCCCCAGCACCCCTTCTATTCCCAACTCTCTCCTTGTATCTCACCAGAACCAGAAATCAGTACGAAATAATATATGCTCGTACAACCAAGTATAGGAACTCAATAATACCATATTTAGCCCATGTTCTAAGTGACAGAGACAATGTTAAGCGTGAAACCTATGACTTGCTTTGTTGTTAATAACATAATTTTGGCCCTTGTTATTTCCCCCTTATACTCTCTTATTTGTACTCTATAGTGAACAACCTTCTTAAACATACTTAGCTGCTTAAAATTAATTATCATTGGCTTACTTTTTTGTACTTTACTCTATTCCTTCTTTTGTGTATCTACTGGTTCCGACTATATTATCACTATGAGTATTACAAAATTGTCCTACCAATAACCGTCATGTAATATTAGCTTTGTGGGTTTTTTTTAAGAGATTGTTATATTCATTCATTCGTGTTTAGCAGATATGTACAATATAGACATGATGGAGAAGATTTGTATCTTAGGTGGATGATTTTGATATAGTTGTGCTCTCTGAGCTGGATGGTTTATTTGCGAAGCTTTCGTTGCCCTACTTACTAGGCAACATCTTCAGCACATACTTCAACTTGAAGTGAAATCTGAAAGCTCACTTGAAATTGAAGCGTTTTTTAATTTTTTAATATTTTTGATTACAGCTTGATTCCACACTGTTTTTGATACAAGTATGAAATTTTCAGCATGGATATCGGTAGCCTAAATTTTGCAGGCCGACCATAGATATCAGGTGTGCGTCGGCGGGGACTCGAACCCCAGACCATATGCATGGTCGGCGAGTGTCCTAACCACTGTGCCACCGACGCACAGTGTTGCCTAGTAAGTAGGGGAATGAAAGCTTCACAAATAAACCCTCCAGCTAGCTCAGAGACCACAACTACATCGAAATATGCCCAATATGTTCTAAAGTTTCTGTGTCGTTTGCATACCTAATATATTATACATATATATTCATAACACATTTGCATGTATATAGCTCTTGCATAACATCGTGTCGCATCTTTCTCGTTCCCATGACGATACCGTAGAGATTTCACTTATATTTTATATTTCAGTTAAAATTCAGACTTCAGGAGTTTTTTTTTGTTGAAAATAACGTTTGCTATTGTTGTAAAAAGAGGAGTACGTACTTACATCAGTGAGAGAAATGTTACGGAAAGTAAGTGTTAGCTGTTAAAAAGCGAACTACAGGCTAAAACATCTCACTATTCATAGCAATTATCAAAAAGACATATATCTGTATGTCTGTTTGTCTACCTATTTTCGACATAGAACTTCGCACCGATGTGCGGCAGCTCAGTTCGCCACACTCCATGTAGCACACAAACCAAGAGAAGAAAGTAGAAGAAATGCATAATAGAGACAGTAAACAGAAGTGTGAGACAAAGGAATAGTAATAACGAAGAACAATATAGTTTCATTGGAAATCATAAGTCACTAGGAGTGGATGCATCTGCGCCAGCCATTGAGAACGAAACATGGCCAATACGCGTTGAAGACATGAAAAGGTTGACTGCTTTCGATCATAGATGTCTGCGATCTCTGTCTCACGTTAGGTGGTTTCACAAAATAAGTAATGTTGACGTTAGGCGTAGAGTGTTGGGTAAAGAGGGAAAATCAATCGACGAGGTTATAAAGTTACATAGACTAAGATGGCTAGGTCACGTGGTGCGCATGCCTAACCACCGCCTCCCCCGACGGGCATTGTTAGCTGATATAGGTTCAGGTTGGAAAAGAGCCAGTGGTGGCCAAACAAAAACATGGCATCAATCCATGAAATCCTTGACAGTTAAACTGAGTCAGGTAGGGAGATGCAGACTCCCGGGTTGGGGCCCTCGGGACTCTAGGAATCAATGGCTGGAGACAATAGGTGACATGGCTCAAAATCGTTGTCAATGGCGCAGATGTATTCAATCTCTGTAATCTTTCATATTCCTTTCTACCATTACCCATTCTGTTTCACTCCTATATTTGTCAAACTCTATTAATTCTCTCCACTCATCTTCTTGTCTACCTCTGTGTGCTATTTGGAACGTGGCAACTCGAACTGCTGCACTTCGGTGCCAAGTTCTATGTTGAATCCAAACAGACAGACAGAACGATTTTGCTCCATATCAGCAATTGTTTCCAGCCATTGCTTTTTACCGTCCCGAGGACCCCAACCAGGAAGTCTACACCTTCCTACGTGGCTTAAACTAACTGTTGTGGAGTCCATTGACTGATGAAGCCATGTTTTGGTTTGACCACCGCCAGCTCTTTTCCAGCCTTGACCCTATGTTAGCTAACATTCCCCGTCGAGGAAGGCGATGGCTAGGCTTACGTAACATATACCTTAACCATCTTAGTCGATGTAGCTTCATAGCCTCGTCGATTGACTTCCTCTACTTACCTAGAACTCGGCTCCTAACCTCAATACTGCCCATCCTATTATACTACCACGTGACATGGGAGATAGAACGCAGACACCTAATATCAAAGACAGCTAGTCTTTTCGTGTCCTCCACTGTCAGTGGCCAGGTCTCATAATCATAAAGGAGGACGGAGCGGACTGCTGAGCAGTATATACCCCCTTCATTCGATAGCCGGTATGACTTCTACACCAGAGACTGCGTGAACTGGCATATGCGAAATTAGCCCTCTGTATCCGTGCTGAGATTTCGTCAGCGACCAACCCTCTGGCGTTGGCTGATGCAACTTCCTAAATAAGTGAAGCGGCCAACGTGCTCTACCACTTCACTCCCTATTTCTAAGCTAGGAGTCAGTGTAGTCCAGTCCTGTATTATACATTTTGGAGAGGCAGTATATGCTTACAACTGCTTAATTTTGACTGAAATAACTAACTAATTTTGGTTGATTATTTTTTGCGACCAACTGAAATAGTACTGGACTCTTATGCTCTGTTGTGCGTGACGCAATTAATTTATGGCATACACTTGATATCTGACTATCAACGAAATGAAGTATATACCGCGCAGTCGTTCGCTTCGTCGCTCCTTATAACTGAGGCATGACCGTTGGAAGATGTGAAAGGGCTAGTTGTATTTGACCATAAGTGTTTGCATTCCACCTCTCGTGTCAAGTGGTATAATATATTGAGTGATAATGGGATTAGGAGTAGAGTGTTAGATATGGAGGGAATGTCAATCAATGAATTCGAGAAACTGTATCAGTTGTTGCCTCTAGGACACGTGTAACACATGCTAAGCCATCTCCTTCTTCATCAAGCAATGTTAACTGGTTGGAAAAGACTTAAGGGTCGTTAAATCAAAAATTGGCACCATTCTATGAAGTCTTTGATCATTGGTTTGAGGGTACATACTGCCTGGCTCCTCGAAACACCAGTAGATAAAGATTGTTGGTGATATAGCTCAAAATAGTTTGCAGTGGTGCAGGTGTATTCACTCTTTATGTGAATTCCCAGACCCATTGAATTCTCATTATTTTTCACATGGTTATTTGTTTCTCCCGCATATTTCCATTTATTATTATAGTGTCTTTGCACACTTATTTTTTTCTTTGTTTCTCTACTTTTGTGTGTGTGCTATTATAAAGTGTGCCAAGTTGTAGTTGCTGTAGTTTTGTGTAAATTTCTGCGTTGAAAATTCATCTCAATCCACACCTAATATAAGGGCTAATTACTCTTTTATGTGGAGAATAGCAAATGGTGCGGGTTCAAATAAGGATCACTTTAGTTTTAAACACAAGTGATTGAGATGATCGGTTATAACATACACAGAAATAATTGGATAGAGCATATTTTGTATTATTTCCACCGTTTTATTCTTTAGGCGTCGACTTTTTTTACTGTGGATAATTTACTGTTATACTAAGTAAATGTTGAAACCCTATGTTCCACTCGGA